AACAGTCGGACCGCCGCGCTGCAGCGTTTGCAGATGAATTTCCGTGCTGTTTCACGCGGCGCTGAAGCATGTGCTTTTGACCAGAATACCGCCTGGAGAAAACACTGACTCAAAAGCCGCCCGCTTCGCCAGCAGGGTCTCCCACGCATTCAGTCAAATATCGACACATCATCTAGCTTTCTCTTGCAACATGATATACGCTGACATTGGCTCCCAGCCTTGAACTTAATCTAGGGGATCTTTATGACGCAGGGCACACAGTCATGACTTGCAGAGCGGCTGTCATCGCGGGCCCCCTGGGTAAACAGGCGTGTCCTGTCAGGCGTGCGCCTTATCAAAACCCATTCCGTCGCTCGCCGGCGTGGGCGTCATGTAATGGGCTGAAGTGAGTGACGGCCCGGCAGCGGTGTCCGAGTCCGGCCGGCGGCGCGCCAGCTGGCTGACGGGGTCGCCCGCCGGACCCGTCCGGTCCGTGACCCTGACCCTGACCCTGGTGAGGTGCGAGGCCTGGCCGGCCGCCATCGCCGGCGGGCAGGTGACCTTTGACCGCTGGCGCGGCCGACGCCTGTGGTCATCGCTGATTGTCGGCTGTTCAGCGACGGCTCGGTCGCAACTGACCATCGGCGTCGAGCTCACAATCAGTTGCGAAATTGTATCGCGATTTAACGCGCGCCGTGGAGCTGCTGCCCGCGTGCCTTCAGCACGAAAATCTCAGACTCAGAGCGGCCGTGTGGCGTCCACCCGCGGGGGCATCGCCGCGGACTCGGCGCGGAGCGGTGGCGGCGTGTGCGCCGCTGCCGGGACGTCACCAGCTCCGGGTGCGGGTCTCGTGGCGTCACCAGGTGCCGCTGACCGAGTCCGTCCGGGGCGCCGACAGGAGCGCCGACACAGACGAGCCGCGGAGCGCCGACATGAGCTGGCCGCGCAGCCGCGGGGAGGGATAGCCGGCGCCGGCGGCGAGCGGCGCGCTGGAATTGGGTAGTTCTGTCAGAGCGGCCATTATTGAGCGGGCCGTTGCCAGCCGGCTGACCACGCTGCAAACGTAATCGACTCGGGAAACCCCTTCCGGCTCGCCGTGAGTGAAATATCGCCGAAACCGAGCACCGCGGGAGGGCGAAGCGTGCGGTGTTCCGGTCCCCGAGCGACGTCAACCTGTCCCGTACAGCGGCCACGTCGCTTCCGGAGCGGCCCGGGCGGCCGGCGCGGGGTGGCCAGCGTGGCGGCCGGTGAACCGGCCGGCGCTGGGAGCCGACGGCCGGCCGCTCCCACGCCGGGCCGCCGCGACGCCGGCGACGCTCCCAGCTGCTTGAACGGGTGGGAAGAGGCGGGGGAGCGGCGGCGGCGTCGCTGGAGCGCTCCCCCGGAGGGCTGAGCTGGGGCAGCCGCGCAGCCGCGCAGCGCGCAGCTCGGCGGCCGCTGAAGAAAGCTGACGGAAGGGAAAGAGCCGGTCGTGTTCGTGCTGCGGGCGTTTGACGTGTCTGCGGCGGACGCGGCGGGAATGGCGCTGCCGGGGCTCGCGGAGCGAAACTTGCAGTGGTTTATGTGAGCCGCCGGCGACCGCAGTGGCGTGTCGGTATGCGGCTTGCTTGTTCCAGTAGCCGCAGACCGGCAATCCGACACGGCTGCTCCTCACCGGAATGTGCGACTTTGGAGAGGAATAGAGTGGCGACAGAGTGCATATATATATATATATATATATATATATATATATATATATATATATATATATATATATATGTATGTATGTATGTTCACGTTAGGCGGGCGTGTGCATCCCCTGCAGCCCTCCGGACCGCAGAGCGTTCGGTCAGGTCCGAAGCCTCGGGGACGGGCTCCACTTTCCCATCTATGCCCTCACTGCTGAGCGGGCCAGTCGGGCGGGCGGAGAAGCCACCGGTCTCCCCGAGTGATTTTTACCCGTCCCGTCCCGCCCGCTCGCCAATCGGTGAAGGGGCCGGCGACGCCAGTGACCCGCCCGGGCGCCGGCGCCGCCCGCCGGGCGGACCGCCAGTCGCCGCCTGTCGTCCGACCCCAGCGCAGGACGCTCTTTAGAAGCCCGCGCCGCTGAGTGGCGCCGTCGCCTCGGCGGCGCTCCGCCGGGCGGCGCGTAACGAATGCCGCCGTGGGGCGCCGCGGCCGACGCTCGTGCATTGTTGATGGTCGTCAGGATTGGTTCGCGTCGTTCGGCCCGCCGCCTTCGAGTCGCTGTCGACGGGCCGCCGACGCGGCCGCCTGCGGCGCGCGCCAGCCGCCGCCGCCGCCGACTCGCCCGCGCATTTGTTTGCTCAATCATCCTCAACTTCTCCGGCAATTTATTGATTTTGTGTCGACCCAGTTTCGGGGAGGGGTTTGATGCGGCGCCGGCCGGCAGGGGGCGCCCGGACGGGCCGTGTTGGTCGGCTCTCGGCGGGTGGTGGAGGGTGGTCACCTTGCCCTGAAGTGAGGTGGTGACCTTCCTACGAGCCTCGGGCGTCGGATCTGGGTGGTGAACATCCGCACCCCGCTCCCAACTCACTCGGCAGAGCTGTGTTACGAAAATGGTGGCGGACGCACCGCTCCGTCTGGCGCTGTTTCTCGTTGGTTTTGCGGAGTTCCAGCCTGCTCTTGCATGAAATAATGCCACTGAAAGGTTCCTGGCATTGGACAGTTTAGTTAATGGCTGTTCGTCTACGCTTTCGTGCGCGCATTTGTATGCCTAGCATCCAATTGTTTGAGATGGTCACCCTGCCAACGCCGCCCAAACATCCGTGAACTTCTGAGTGCTTTACTACCCCATGTATGTTAGCTGTAAGCATTGTCTTGGAGACGACTGGGTAGGGGGAAATCATCGATGAAATAATGGGTATCGTTGATCCTTGATGCATTACCGTTGAAGCCGTTGATGTATTACATACAATGCCGTTGATGCATTACTTTTGCGTGCTGATCTGAGCTAGACCTTATGGAATGAACGCAATGCACAGACAAATGTAGTAAGCGAATTATATTTGTTGAACACAACGGAGTCACTGTCCTGTGGCATTTTACTATGAGTGCGAAAATCGTCGAGGGTCCGTATGTTGATGGGCTATCAGGGATAGTTTCTGCTCACTGAACATCAGATGCCATCAGGGTGCCCGATGCTACATAACAATAGCAGAGGATGTCCATCAGTTTATCAGGGCTCTGGTGGTGCGATGGTTGTATTGCCTGTCTGAGAAATCAGAGGTTCGGGTTCGATTCCACGCGGTGTCCGGCCTTCCTGCCAGGGTCACGAGAGGCAGCGCCGTATGACCTCAGCTGTGGAGTCCACCGCTTATCACCAATGATAGCAACAGCAACCATCATGTTCCTATTAAGTCTGTTTGCGTATTGGATATTTTAATCTTACGGTATGCAGCTTGCCGATCTTGTACTGGAAGTGTTATGCTCGGTTTCCGTAGCCACATCGCATTGGCAGCTGCGGCTCCAGCCCGGCCGGACCTGTTTGCCATCGAGTTACCCTGGAGCGGCATTGTGCGCGAGTTCCGGCCGTCGGTCCCGCGGACGGCATAAACGCCGTTTCCGCCGCACTGCGCCGCAGCTCGAGTGCGGTGCGTCGTTTTTGCCGTGGCGCCGGCGCCCTGTAATCGGTCGGCAAGCCAGGTGTCGGGAGTCGCGCCGCCGCCCGAGCGAGTGGACGGCGGGGCGGCGGCGCCGGCGGCCGGCTCGGCTGGCGCGGCCGGCGGCGGTGTACCCCGGCCGGCCGGTCGAACCGGAGGCGCCATCGGGTCGGGCCGGCCGGCGCGGCTGACGGGCACGTGCCGGCCGGCCGGCCAGGCGCCGCTAACGCAAAGTGACCGGCGCCGGCGCCCACTCGGCACGGCACGGCCGCCGACACGTGGCCGGGGCGCGGGGTGGGGTCGCCGCCGCCGCCGCGCGCGATGTCTGGTCACTGCCGCCCTGGATCAAGCGGCGGGATCACCGCGTCACTCAGACGATGTATGGCGCCGCTGGTGCTGTGAATCAAGCTCTATTGTCGCTGCTCCCACCGTGGGGAGAAATACCGGACCATTGCCGCGTCGGAGTGAGACGGTTGGCCGCTGTGTGCCGGTTAGTACGACTCCATCACTCCTGAGCCGGGCTGTAAATCAGGCTTACCTGACCTTGATGGGCAGCATGGCTTGAGTGAGATCCTTCGCCATGATGCTAGTCCACGTGTTGCCGGCATCAGTCCCGACATCGTGCCAGGGGATCCTCCCCATTGCGCCCAAGTCCTAGACCCACGATGTGCATATATAACGATGTGCATATATATATATATATATATATATATATATATATATATATATATATATAACCAAACGAAGTAAAAGACGCTGAGCAGCAGGAGCAAATGAAATGAAGCAAACATCACAAAGCAGCAGGAGTCTGTTGGCGTCACCGGGTGCCGTGACCCCGTCGGTACTGGAGCAGATCGGTCCGTCCATTACTGCGTCGGCTTCGGCGGACCCGCCTTCACGCGCCGCTGTGTCCGTCACAAGTTTCCATGAAAAACTTTGCCGGCTGACACGGCCGACATCCACACAAAGGCACCGGCTTTCTGGCGGTGCCGACGCAGCGTTGCAGCATCGGCAGACATTTCTGATAGTTGGCTGACGCCTGTCAAGTTGGCAGCCATCAAACTTCCGGCGGGCGGCTACATTTGGGTCAGCGACAGCAGCCTGCTAGCAGCGGTTTGGTGTCTACATTTATGAATCAGTTCGCAGCTATTTAGAAATGTCTTTATCTTATTTAAAAGGTCCGTAACGATCCTTTCGATTTCAACCTGCTAGTGACGCTTATCTGCTTTTGGGTTATTGCATACTTGGTGTTGCGAATAATTGTCACAGTTTGCTTCTAACTTCCTTTTATGTTCCGCTCTGCGTCACCGGATGAGCAGTTCCACTTAGTTTGTTCTTCGTTCAAATCTGAGAGCCTTCTGTGGTTGGTCAGCTGTTGTGTCCACGGAGTCATCTTACTTTTTTGCTGTTTTTTTCCAGACGTGCTATGAGATGGAGAAGTATCTGAAGGACGAGCCGAAGCTGAAGTCGTTCAAGAAGCTGCCCAGCGAGCTGGACTCGCCGCGCATCAAGCAGGAGGAGGCGGACGACAGCGACTACTTGTTCTCGTCGCGCGACTCGCTCGACTCGCTGAGCGTGTCGTCCGTGTCGTCGGCCAACTGGGAGACGGCCAGCATGAAGACGGAGGAGGTGGAGTCCGAGTCGGAGAGTGACTCGGAGGAGGCGTACGGCGACTCGGGCGCCAGCGGCCGGCTGCTGGCCTCGCTGACGCCGCCCTCCAGTCCCGAGTGGGCGGCGGCCGGGCCGCGGCTGGCCGGCCGCGGCACGCTGCAGGTTCGCTTCACGTCGCGCTCTGGCGGCCTCATCTCGTGCCTGCCGGGCTTCTCGCTCAAGGCCGGCCACGGCCGCCAGCTGCGCGTCGACACGTCGCCCGACGGCAAGCGGCGGATACACAAGTGCCTCTTCTCCGGCTGCAAGAAGGTGTACACCAAGTCGTCCCACCTCAAGGCCCACCAGCGCACCCACACAGGTCAGCTGAGGCGAACCCTCGCAGTGGCAGGGGCGGTCGTTTGACACCGAGTCCCGAAAGGTGTATGTTTTAGGCAGTCATATCTGGCCGGCGAATCCATCGGTTTCCGACACCACCTCGTCATCACTGCCATACAGCTGTCGGGGCGGACTGCGCACGGCTTCATCCAGTCCGCTCCCTTTGTGCGTGGGCTGCAAACTCCAGCTGCACGCACGTGCTGCCCCTCCCCGCGCAGTGCTGCATCAGCCGTTTTCTCGGACATCGCGCCGCGTTCGTCGGATCTTATGTCTCAGCCGGCAGCTGCTGGCTCCATACAAAGCTGTCGCGGCGCCGGCGCGCGGCGGTGGAGCGTCGCCGGCGAGTGCGCCGGCTCCCGTGGGAGTCGTGTCCGGCTGCGGGGCCTCCCCTCCGGCGTCGACCCTCGGCCTGCCGTACCCCGGTAAACACGGACGCCGCCCGGCGCAGAAATAGCCGGCGGCGCTGCAGGGTCGCTGGCCGCCGCCGCTGCCGCCGGCGCGCGCGCGCCCCCAAATAACGCGTCATCCGACCCCGGGCTCACTATGGCTGTGAACGCGCGCAATACCGCGGTGCTGACAGGAGATGCTGGTATTTTTAACCTGCCGTGGGGGGACGTAAACAAGGTGCAAGTGTATTCGGCAGCGCCGCGCGCACTCTGTGTATTTCCACCTCTTTTACTGTCCTTCTCTCCTCTCCGGGCCTCTCTCATGTGATCTCCTCCCTCTTGCGTGCGGTCTCTTATCTCTTACACGCGCACTTCTTCGCCATCTGTTGTTTTTGTTTCTGCTCCCTGCTCTCCCACATCGCCGGGAACGTACTCTTCCTCTGTAGGTACTCTCGAGGTGCTTTGCTAGACACTCTCCCACTCTACCTACCCTCATCCGATTTTTGCTGTCTGACGTGCGGTGTTTTCTTGCGATAGCTTATCACGTCGTTCCTCCCATTGAATCAACCCTTGAGTCTCCATCAGAAGAGCGAGGAACGCCTTCAAGATATGTCGAATCAAGGACTTGATAGGGTCCCTGTGCCCTCTCCTTCCCTGAGGTGACATCCCTGGCAGCCGGGCAGGCGGCGCGCCAGCGGCAATCCCCTGGGGCGGAGCGCCGCCGCCGGACCCCTCTCCTGCTTCGGATCCGCCCGCGCCCGTCGCCGCCCCCGCCCCGCGCTCTCGCCGACCGGCGCGTCCATCCGTTCCGGCGGGGCGGACAGGTCGGGGCGCGCTTCAGATGAGATCGGGCCGCCGATCGCCGCCCGCCCCGGTAGCGCCGACCTCACGTGCGGCCGCCGCCTGCCGCCGAGCTCCTGCCGGCCGCCGGCAGCCGCTCAGTCTGCCAGCGGAGAGACGGACTGCGGCCGGCGAGCGCTGTCTCGTCTCACGTGCGCAGCCGGGGCGGAGGCGCCAGGCGGCCCCGGCGGCGGCTGGGCAGGCCGCGACCGACCGGGGCGGCGGAACGTAAGTCTACCGTGGCTGCCGTGGCTGCCGTGGCTGCCGTGGCTGCCGTGGCTGTCGTGTGGCGGTCCGCACGACTGCCGCTTCGTGGAAGCGGTCTGGCTTGGCTGCCGCCTAGTTGGAAACCGGGGCGTGGAATTCCGGGTGACAACGGAACCCAAAATGTGCCTTGCGACCGAACTCACGAGGTCGCGGAGGGGCCGAGCGAGGGCAGCAAGTCCTCAGCTCTCTGGTGCCACCGCTGCCCGGCGGCCGTGGTCTGCACGGGTTCGCAGTCAGGGGCGGATCTCGCGAATTTGACTCTTGCCCCGGATCCCGACGCCGCCGCCGCCGTGTGGATGTGTGAGCGGCCGGCGCGTGCGAGCCCATTCTCTTATTGTCTCATTCTCGGAGCCAGACATCGGCTGATGGAATTACGGGCGCATGGCTCCCGCATGTGCTGTTATTATACATTATTCCCGGGCGTTATCAGTGACGTCGGCCGGCGGCAAACGAAGCACAATGGTAAATGGCGGCGGGGGATGGCAACCGCACGCGGCTCACTGCCGCAGCCGTAGAGCGAATGCCGTCTGCTGCTTGTCAGCGCGAGGCAGCCGGCCGCGATAAGGCGCTTTCCATGCGTACATTTTCTGCTCGGCGCCGTTTGCTGGCGTCGTTTGGAGGGCTCAGGGCGGAGGAGGCGGAGGAGGGGCGGGCTCGCCAGCGGCAGCGCAGGGGCGGGCTTGTGGCGACTCGCGGGCGGACTTGTGGCGACTCGCGGGCGGGCTTGTGGCGACTCGCGGGCGGGCTTGTGACGACTCGCGGGCCAGCTTGTGGCGACTCGCGGGCGGGCTTGTGGCGACTCGCCGCGTGGGTTCCGCAGCGAGGCGGCTCTCATGCTACCCCGTCAGAACCGTTGGACACGTCACCGACCTCTGATAATCCCGGAACCAGACGAAGGGGTCGGGGACGTCGGCCGGTGCGCCGCCGCGCCTCCGCTATCGGTGCGCGCGACAGGGCGGTCTCGTGGCCCGTTCTTTACGCAGATTGAAGAGGCCGGCCGGCGACAGTGCGGTCCCGGTCGACCCCATATCGGGCCCGTTTGTGTCAGCGCGCGCTGCCGGCCGCTTTATCGTCACCTCTCGGCGAGCCGGCCGGCCGGTAATCGGCCGCCGAATTACGAGCCCGCTTGGCCCGGCTATCGCCTCGGACGTCAGCTCCAGCGGCCGACGGCCGCCGCCGTCCGGAGATTGCGGCGCTGCCCGGCGGCCGCCCGCACCAGCAATTAGAGCTGCGACGGCGCGTGCCGAGCGGCGGCGGCAGCGTCTGCCGGCCGTCGCTCTGTTTGCCTGCCGATCAGCGTCACCCTGTCTACCTCGTCATGCCCCCCCCCCCCCCGATCCCCTCCCGCGGACGGGTGGGCGGCTGGCGCGGCCGACGAAGGCCAACACGTGCGCGCCGTGCACGTGCCGCGTCGTGTTGGTGTAAAGCGGGCGCCGGTAAAAACGCGCCTGACGTTTCGGCCGGCGCCGAGAGATTCGGCGCGAAGGGTGCGCCGCACGGCCCTAATGAGACGCGAAGGCTGAAATGATTCAGCAGGCTGGCGGTCGCGTGTTTCAGCGCCGCCTGTCCGCAGCCGGGCCTCGAGACGAGTCGAGCAGCTGTCGGCCCCCTCTCTCCCCTGGGGAGGGATGGGATAGGGAGGGGTCAGGCGTTCGTCGCGCGGAATTAGCCCGGTCCGGCCCTCGCTCACGTGAATCATTCATCGCGCCGCGGCGCCGAACTACGGAAACACGGAGGAGCGGCGAGCTCTGCATAAAGCAACCGTGAGAAGAGAGCTGAAGAGCCTGCCCGCGGCCCGATTGGGGTGATGATGGGATGGCGTGCTGGTCGGCGCCCGCATGCTCGGACGGTGTCAAATTGTGGCGGCCTGATGATTACTAATGCTATCCCGAGCAAGGCATCCATCACCGACGACAGATGGCAGGTCGGCGGACCTCTATACAGTCATCACCGACCCGCCAGCCCCCATCCAATCACACGAGTGCGGCACGGGGGCCGGCCGCGCTCCCCCCCCCCCCTCCCCTCCCCTCCCCAGGCGCAGCGTCGCCCCTTGGCCTCGTGCAGCTCTTCCATTGGAGGTGGTCTGACAGCGGCGTAAAAGTGGGCTGCTCATGATTGGTGATGTCGGGGTGACCAGGAAGATGTGTCTTGCAGCGTGGAATTAGTACTTGTGCTAAGAAACTGAATCGTAGAAATCTGCGCCTACCACAAAATGGTGCAAGGTTCACGTGGTTTGTATCCCAGCCAGCCTTTTCGTAGCACTAAATCAATCAAGCTTAGCGCATCCTTGACTGGAGACCGCACTCCTCCGGCATCAGTGTACTTTGAAATACCAATTATCTCGGATCATTCCCAGAAAGCGCAAACGCGTGAATCGTGTCTCTGTTTCTACTCATCACCGAATACTCATCTCGATGACATCCCAGCGGTGATTCAGTTTTGACACTCGCCATAGTCGAGTGGTTTGTTATGCACAGCTAATGTCAACCGCGGGCCGAGTGCCACGAGCGGAGCCTTGCCTGGAATCAATCCTGACTGTCCGCCTGCTGCCCGGAGTCCAAGTTCATGGACCTGGACTCTGCAGCTGGAGTTTGTGAGGCTTGTCTAAATTCTGTATCGACCCTGCTGGTAGCGGGAACTTGGTCACTGGGGGCCGGCCCCGTCCCGCGCGACACACCGAGCCCGGCGGCAGACGTCGCTGTTTCAGCCGTCAGCTAGAGCCCGTCTGCCAGCAGTGTTGGTCCAGCCGTCAGCTAGAGCCCGTCTGTGAGCAGTGTTGGTCCAGCCTTTAGCTAGAGCCCGTCTGCGAGCAGTGTTGGTCCAGCCTTTAGCTAGAGCCCGTCTGCCAGCAGTGTTGGTCCAGCCGTCAGCTAGAGCCCGTCTGTGAGCAGTGTTGGTCCAGCCTTTAGCTAGAGCCCGTCTGCCAGCAGTGTTGGCCCAGCCGTCAGCTAGAGCCCGTCTGCGAGCGGTGTTGGTCCAGCCGTCAGCTAGAGCCCGTCTGCGAGCAGTGTTGGTCCAGCCTTTAGCTAGAGCCCGTCTGCCAGCAGTGTTGGCCCAGCCGTCAGCTAGAGCCCGTCTGCGAGCGGTGTTGGTCCAGCCGTCAGCTAGAGCCCGTCTGCCAGCAGTGTTGGTCCAGCCGTCAGCTAGAGCCCGTCTGCCAGCAGTGTTGGCCCAGCCGTCAGCTAGAGCCCGTCTGCGAGCAGTGTTGGCCCAGCCGTCAGCTAGAGCCCGTCTGCCAGCAGTGTTGGCCCAGCCGTCAGCTAGAGCCCGTCTGCCAGCAGTGTTGGCCCAGCCGTCAGCTAGAGCCCGTCTGTGAGCAGTGTTGGCCCAGCCGTCAGCTAGAGCCCGTCTGCCAGCAGTGTTGGCCCAGCCGTCAGCTAGAGCCCGTCTGCCAGCAGTGTTGGCCCAGCCGTCAGCTAGAGCCCGTCTGTGAGCAGTGTTGGTCCAGCCGTCAGCTAGAGCCCGTCTGCGAGCAGTGTTGGTCCAGCCT